CTTCACTTTTATTCTTATACATATACTTCATCCCTCCCTAAATCTCTTACTTATTTGGATTTTTATAATAAGCTTTAAATAAAGAAAGAATATTTTTGCATTAACTTTTCTAAATTACCCTTAATGCAATGACTAAAAGTATGTTAATCCAAATAAGAAAGGATATTTACTTTTTTATTTCAGTAAACAAAAATAAAAATTATTAATTTGAGATTATATGTTAATCTTTTTCAATAATAATTTTAAATGTTAGGAACACTATAAAACATTTTTTAAAAAATATTTAAAAATCGTGATTAATAAAAAAAATAAAGGAAAAAAAAAGAAAAAACAACAACAAAAATAAGAAATGAGCATCCGTGCCCCTATGGTTTAGAAAATAAACTCAAATGCCTCTTTTTCACCTCTTTTTAATGGTATAGATCTAACATTTAAAACTTCCGAGACTTTAGAAATAATTTTTAAAAACATAGAAGATATTAATGTATATTTTGTCAAACTATGAGGGTACTAATGCTATTTATCTTTATTACTCCCTACATCCCGGAAAACATGGAAGTTTTGGTTTTGGAGAAGGATTTAAGGAGAGTGTATTTGGTATTGAATTTCCAAAAATGTTCTTTGATGTGATGGGTAAAAGTATGATTTGATGGATAGATTATTAGTAAAAAGGTATGATGTGATAGGTAGGGTATAGAAAAGTAATGGGTAAAAGTGATTTTTTAATAGAAATGAGAAGTGTTTTGTGGGACGGATGAAAAAAGAAAGGAGAACGGTTTTCTGGGACGGAGGGAGTATTATATTCATGGTAAAATAATTAAGCAGGTGTAGTTACTTACCATCATGGTATGTTCATGGGTGCGGTGAGAAAGTAGTCTAGAATCATCAACGCGGTACTCCTGCATTAGCCAATTGGTTTTCACGCTATCTTTCGACGACGACGACGACTTCCCGATATAGAATACCAAAGACCTCTTGAACCCGACCGTTTTCCCGTCGGAGTTTTTTATGGCCTCTTCGGCGCCGGTAGACTTCCAGTATCCGTCTCGGGCTGCCCGGTCCGGACGCTGCCCCTTCTTATACTTGCGTACCCTTGGCGTGAAAAAATAACAGCTCTCTTCCTCTCCCCTGCCCTTCTCTCGACACATTCCTGCATATATGTTATCTATGCAATAATTATTCCAAATATTTGCACTAAATATTACTTGAATAATGACTAATGAATAATGACTAAAAGTGTTACATTGAAAAAAAAACACAAGTAGTACTATTTAAAGAAAGTCATTATGTTTTAATGCTATTTACGTATATTCCTCTATTTATTTTATTTAAGAGAGAGTACTAGGAGAAGCTCATTTGGGATACAGCAAATGTACATCATGGAGACAATCAAGTACGGAGTAATAACTCACTTAAGAATTAAAAGAAAATTTCACACGCCTGCATGAGCAGCTCAACTTATTTTTTCACATGCTCCTAGAGGTGAAATTTGGAACAGGAGACCAAGGATCGAGAAAGTAACAAAATCAGAATTCCATACTTATTTTTTCTAAATAGAAGTTCATTGCACTATATATAGGCATTTTTGGTAACGTACATGGTCATACTTTGTAATATAATGTATTTTAACTCTTATTTTGGTATATTTTACATGTTTTACTCATATTTTAATTTTTTCATTCAAAAAATTAGGGGGCTCCTCGTGCACAGTAAACACTGATTACAACCTCTGTTGCAGAATGAGTCACCGTGATTTACCTTCTCTCACAATCCCGTGTGTGGAACGCTCGGGGTGAATAATTTCACCTTTTTGGAACAACATAAAGTTTCACGTACTTAAAAGTTTTGTTCCAAATCAAAAATTTCTTTTTTTATTTTCATACATCTTAATACTTTTTTTATTTCGCTTAAAATTAATTATCAATTATTAACCTACTTATCTCTTCATATTATACATTATTAATATACAAATAACATCGTATTCTCACTCTAAAAGGTAAGGGTAAAATAGGAAAGTAATAATCAAATTACACAAACCTTAAATATTACTCCATCTGATCACAAATTAAATTCTCATTTCAAACAACATGCAAAATCTCATAGTTTTTAAAATTATTTTATTTATAAATTGATATAAATATAAAAAATATAAATTGTAAGTTTTTAATAGTTTTTGGTAGGAAGGAGTAAATATGATATATGGCAACTCATGATATTTTGACACTTACAAGTTTATAAATTTATAAATGTCATTTTTCTATCTTCTCATCTCACTCTCAATATCATCCTTTCATTATTTTCTTTTTACCTTTTTTTATTTTTGTATAATTTAAATCACTGCTTTATATACGAAAAAAATCCTTGCTTCAATTTTTTTAATGTTTTCTGAGTCATAGTTTTGTAAAGTCGCTATTTTTTATAACAACATTTCCCAATAAACAAACATCCCTCTTTTTAAAAACCGTTGCTCTAAATTCACTTTTTACAACTGTTCTTTGTACTCCGTATTTTTTAATACAAAATGTGTTCGAATGTCTTTGTATTTTCTTTTATTAGCCACAAAACAAATCATCTTTACCACTATACATATGGGAGATTGGGAGTATATACCTATACCATAGTATAATGAAATTGATGTCCGTCCTGTAAGACCTTTGCATATAATACTCCGTACTTGTTTTCTTCTAAAATTAACTTTTCATTTGATTTCTTATAATTCTCAGATCAATGCAATACTTTAATCATTAATTAATATCTCTGTTTATATATGTATATATATACTCTCTGCGTCCTCAAATAAACTTTGCATTCACTATTCAGAGGGTCAAACTTTATTCACTTTGTTGGCTTATTTTCGTCACTCATTTGATAAAATAATATAGTCATGTCATCTCTAGTTTTGTAGATCTTTTGATATAGTTTTTTTACTCTCTCCGTCCCCAAAAAATTTACACGTTTCAAAAAAAATTGTGTCCCACAATCCTTTACCCATTTCTATTAAAAAACCACTTTTACCCCTTACTTTTTCAAACCCTACATATCACATCATACATTTTTCCTAATAATCTACACATCACATCAAGGGTATTTTTGGAAAGTCAACACAAAATTATCTATCCCTTAATTTCAACTTTAGTCAAAATGGGTAACACTTTATGGGCCGGGGAATAATATATAATTTTTATTTTTCAATTCTATACAATTTTTCATATAAAATGATTTGAAAATAACTTCAGTCAAGCATCGTAATGCGCAATGTAAAGTTTATTTGTGGATGGAGGGAGTATATATATTACTCCCTCCGTCCCTAAATAGATTACAATTTTTTTCTCTCTCCTCTCGATAACTTTTGTTTGTTTATGCGATTTCATTAAATATTTAATAAAATAAAATGTTTTTGTCACATCTTGTTTTGTACTCCCTCCGTTTGTAAAAAGACTTCTTATTTTGACTTGGAGCAAAAATAAGAAAGTGTTAAATTATACTCCCTCCGTCCCTAAATAAAGTTCCATTTTTGACTTTTTGAGGATTTAAGGGAGGGATATTTTTGTGTTGACTTTCCAAAAATATCCTTGATGTGATGTGTAAAAGTAAGATGCGATAGGTAGATTATTAGTAAAAAAGTATGATGTGATAGGTAGGGTATGAAAAAGTAAGGGTAAAAGAGGTTTTTAAGGGAAAAGAGAAGTTTATTTAGGGACAAGGAAAAAACGAAAGTGGAAGTTTATTTAGGGACGGAGGGAGTAGTTGACTTCCAGTTTTGCCCCTGATATGATGGATAAAAGTAAGATGTGATGGATAGATTATTAAAGAAAAAGTATGATGTGATAGGTGGGGTATGAAAAAGTAAGGGTAAAGTGGTTTTTTAATAGAAAGTGGAAGTTTTTGTTGGAAGTGAAAAAAATGAAAGAGGAAGTGTTTTTAAGAACGGAGGGAGTAGAACTTTTGGCGCAATTTTTTAATATGTAATTTTTACTCCGTAACCCGCAATTTGTAATCTATATATATTGATATAAAATGTATACTCCCTCCGTCCCCAATTTGATTACAAATTGCGGGTTACGGAGTAAAACTTTCTACTTTTTGAAATCATTTTATTTACAAATTTATATATCAATAAGATATAAAAACTATATATTGCCTTAAAAAAAATTACATATTAAAAAACTACGTCAAAAATTCTACAAAACAAGAGGTGACAAGAATATTTTTTTATAAAATACATAATGAAATCGCGTAAACAAACAAAAGTTATCGAGAGGAGAGAAAAAAATTGTAATCTATTTAGGGACAGAGAGTATAAAAATTCAATGTTTTTTTCTAATTATATCAGGTCAAAGTTTACAAAATTTGACTCCGAAAGTCAGTCTGAAAAATTAATTTCAAGACGGAGAGAGTATATAGTACTCCATCCATTTCATAAAATGATTTCTATTTTGAATTTTGGAAGAAATAAGGAATATATATATTTGTGGCTGACTTTCTAATTTTTCCATTGACTTAAGTAAGATGTGATGGATAAATTATTAGTGAAAAAATATGATGCGATAGATAGAACAACAAAAAATAAGGTAAAATTGTGTTTTAATAGAAAGTAGAAGTGTTTTGTAGAAAACAAAAAAAAATAAAAGATGAAATATTTTAAAAAAACGGGAGGAGTAACTTATACTGGTAATTAATTACCTGATAGCTCTTGGGGATTGTAAGCATAAAGATTAACAATCATAATCTTGTTACGGGGAAGGGGCTCATTCTTGACCATTCTGGCAAGGTAGTCAACGATGAGCTCCTCGTCCGTCGGATGAAACCCCCAACCGGACGGGATAAGTCGGAAGTAGGCCTCGTCGTCCTCCTGCCGTCCCACGGGGACAATGACATTATTATTATTATTATTATTATTATTATTATTATTATTATTATTATTATTATCATCATCATCATCGCTGTGGCTCAGCTTAGCTTCCATTAATTAAACCCTAACTAATAAGCTAAATATGTCGTAAATATATTCTCTTAAATTAATGATTATGAATGAACCCTAAGGTATATTATATGTAGATGCATGCGCAAGCGTGGAAGAGAAGTATATATTTATATATATAGAGTTTGTTTGTGTAATCATAATACAGATGAGATAGGGAGTATTATATCATCATTAGTATTACTACTCCGTGTATTATAAGGAGCTTACGCCAAAAAATATACGGAGTATTTGTTTTTAACAAGAAAATCCCTTTTTATTTAATTCATGAAAAAGTTATTGCATGCGCACACACGCGTGGCTAATCTAATTTTGTTACATTTGTTGTTATTAAAACCTAAATTTGTGCATGTATGTGTTGCTCTATGGTGCTTGTGGTGTACTTTTGGTGCATCCTATTTTTGTTAACTCTCTCACATAAAAATTCTTTTTCTAAAACCTTTATTTAAAAAAATACTCCCTTCGTCCCAAAAAGATTTACACGTTTCAAAAAAATTGTGTCCCACAATCCCTTACTCATTTCTATTAAAAAACCACTTTTACCCCTTACTTTTCCAAACCCTACCTATCACATCATACCTTTTTCCTAATAATTTACACATCACATCATACTTTTACTCATCACATCAAGGGTATTTTTGGAAAGTCAACACAAAATTATCCCTCCCTTAATTTCAACTTTAGTCAAAATGGGTAACACTTTATGGGACGGAGGGAGTATATGCTTATTTAAGTAGTAAGAATATGCTTATGTTGCTCATATGTAGATTAAATAAAATATACGGAGTATCTTCTATTTTAAATAAATAAAATAATATTTTGAAAATATTTGATATAATAAATCTAATCAAACTTTTTTTCTATCAATATCTAATATTATTTTTATTTAATTTGAGGTCAAAGTTTATCAATTTTGACCAAAAAAAGTCAAAAGTAGACAAAAGTAGTTGACTTTCAATTTTGCCCTTTATGTGATAGGTAAAAGTAAGATGTGATAGATAGATTATTAAACAAAGAATATGATGTGATAGCTAGGGTAAGAAAAAGTAGGGGTAGAAGTAATTTTTTAATAGAAAGTGGAAGTTTTTGGGTGGAACAAGAAAAATGAAAGAGGAAGTGTTTTTCCAAGAGGGAGTAGTTATTACTCCTAAAATTAAATTGAGTGACGACATATTTTTATATCAAAATAAAACTTTGTATAGTGAAATGGAGCACGGTATATTGACATTGTGAGATGTTCTTTTGGTATTATACTTTAACATTATTGACATTATAACTCATATTTTGAGGATAAAGGCATAAAAGTCATATTTTTATTTTTATCTATATTTTAATCTTATTTTGATCTTACTCTCTAAAAAACCTTTTTATGTTCACTTTTCATTTGTCCCAAAAAAGTACCACCACTTCTAACTAAAGGCTTTAATTAGAAGTTGACACTTATTAGTGGTTGTTACTTGTTGCATATTTGTGTCAACTGTTCTGTCAAGGAACCAACTCAACCAAAAACTCAAACTTGTGGTTGTGGTCCAGGAAATGTTTCTTATATTCTAACACGCCCCCTCACGTGCAACCGTAGTTTTTTTCGAGCTTTGCACGTGAAACCTTAATTTTTTAAAAACTAGGTGACATTAAGTTTCGAACCCGTGACCTCTTAGTCAACAAGGCTCTGATACCATGTCAAGGAACCAACTCAACCAAAAGTTCAAGCTTGTGGTTGCAGCCCAGGAAATGTTTCTTATATTCTAACATGTTAAAGAGTATTTCACATCGTAAAAGTGTGAGGAAAATAATGGGTATATATAAGCTCTTGAGTTGAACTAAGTAATCGATTGGATTCAATATTTTAATGTGGTTCAGCTCAAATGTCTTATAGCCCAATCCAGTTATCTCTACCCAATCCTAAATTTTATCATGGTATCGGAGCAGGTTTTGACCCACTTATTTGTCAAGGTGTTCGTCTAGACGTTCATTACTAGCGGTCTGTTTGTCTTTAGCCCAGTTATCCGTATGGAGTATGTACCCAACGGCATGTGACCTGTTTAACACGATTGCTCGTTTGAAAGTTCATACCTAGCGGCTCGTGGTCCTTTAGGTGTTGGCGCTCAAAAAAATCAAGGGGATGAGGGTCTATTTGCAAGTGGTCAACTGATTAGATTCAAAATATATGGCCCGGTCATTCACTTGAGGGAGAGTGTTAAAGAGTATCCCACATTAGAAAAGTGTGAGAAAAATAATGGGTATATAATCTCCTGAGTTGAACTAAGTAATCGATTGGATTCAATCTTTTAATGTGGTTCAGTCCAAGTGTCTTATAATCCAATCCAGTTATCTCTACCCAATCCTAAATTATATCATGTTCTGAATGACTGATGAGTTTAACTTGTTTGGTCAGCTGAATGA